CCGGTAGCCCCTGTATATAGCCTCCCTACTGTTATTTTATTTTACTGCTGCTCTTTAGTTATTAGCATTATTACTTTTTTTGCTTAACACTTTTTTATATTTGTTTTACTTTGCAGGGCTTGTCAGTAAGCATTTCACTGTAATGACTACACCTGTTGTGTTCAGTGCATGTGGCATTTTTTTTGTTTATTTTATTTGATTTTATGTGTAAGACAGGATGGTATGTGGTGTGGATGTGTGTCAGACAGGATGGTATGTGGTGTGGATGTGTGTCAGACAGGATGGTATGTGGTGTGGATGTATACAGACAGGATGGTATGTGGTGTGGAGTTGTGTCAGACAGGATGGTATGTGGTGTGGATGTATCAGACAGGATGGTATGTGGTGTGGATGTGTCAGACAGGATGGTATGTGGTGTGGATGTGTGTCAGACAGGATGGTATGTGGTGTGGATGTATCAGACAGGATGGTATGTGGTGTGGATGTGTGTAAGACAGGATGGTATGTGGTGTGGAGTGTGTTAGACAGGATGGTATGTGGTGTGGATGTGTCAGACAGGATGGTATGTGGTGTGGATGTGTCAGACAGGATGGTATGTGGTGTGGATGTGTGTTAGACAGGATGGTATGTGGTGTGGATGTGTGTAAGACAGGATGGTATGTGGTGTGGATGTGTCAGACAGGATGGTATGTGGTGTGGATGTGTGTCAGACAGGATGGTATGTGGTGTGGATGTGTGTAAGACAGGATGGGTCATGTGGTGTGGATGTGTGTCAGACAGGATGGTATGTGGTGTGGATGTATGTCAGACAGGATGGTATGTGGTGTGGATGTGTGTCAGACAGGATGGTATGTGGTGTGGATGTATCAGACAGGATGGTATGTGGTGTGGATGTGTGTCAGACAGGATGGTATGTGGTGTGGATGTGTGTCAGACAGGATGGTATGTGGTGTGGATGTGTGTCAGACAGGATGGTATGTGGTGTGGATGTGTGTTAGACAGGATGGTATGTGGTGTGGATGTGTGTAAGACAGGATGGTATGTGTGGTGGATGTGTCAGGACAGGATGGGTATGTGGGGTGTGGAATGTGCTGTCAGGACAGGATGGTATGTGGTGTGAATGTGTGTTAGACAGGATTGGATGTGGGGTGGGGAATGCGTGTGTCAGGACAGGATGGTATGTGGTGGTGGATGTGTGTTCAGACAGGATGGTATGTGGTTTGGGATGTGATGTCAGACAGGATGGTATGTGGTGTTGGATGTGTCCGACAGGATGGTTTGTGTGTGTGGATGTTGTGTCAGGACCGGATGGTATGTGGTGTGGATCGTTGTGTTAGACAGGATGGTTATGTGGTTGTGGATGGTGTGTCAGGACAGGATGCGTATTTGGTGTGGATGTGTGTCAGACAGGATGGTATGTGGTGTGGATGTGTCAGACAGGATGGTATGTGGTGTGGATGTGTCAGACAGGATGGTATGTGGTGTGGATGTGTGTTAGACAGGATGGTATGTGGTGTGGATGTGTGTCAGACAGGATGGTATGTGGTGTGGATGTGTGTCAGACAGGATGGTATGTGGTGTGGATGTGTGTCAGACAGGATGGTATGTGGTGTGGATGTGTCAGACAGGATGGTATGTGGTGTGGATGTGTCAATGTATTAATATCAGAGTCCAGAATGTCCCCAGAGATCCAAGTTTCAGTCAATACCAGAATATCCGGATTTGTCTGTATAGCCCAGATCTTAATGTAATCCAGTTTAGGAAGTAAGCTCCTAATGTTTAGATGCATCAACCTGAGACCTTTACGATTTTTAAAGTCACATGGAAACTCCAACTGGAACAAGCTACGTTCAATAGGCGGTTGCAGGCCCTGTCTGATGGTTGACATTGATGCAGTGGTCTAAGGCACTGCATCGCAGTGCTAGCTGTGGCACTAGAGATCCTGGTTCGAATCCAGGCTCTGTCGTAGCCGGCCGCGACCAGGAGACCCATGGGGCGGCGCACAATTGGCCCAGCGTCGTCCAGGGTAGGGGAGGGAATGGCCGGCAGGGATGTAGCTCATTTGGTAGAGCATGGCGTTTGCAACGCCAGGGTTGTGGGTTTGATTCCCACGGGGGGGCCAGTATGAAAAAAAAAAAAGATGTATGCACTCACTAACTGTAAGTGGCTCTGGATAAGAGCGTCTGCTAAATGACTACAATGTAAAGGGTTGGTTACAGTCCCACTGTCTGTCTGATATCAATATGGTCAAAATATCTGTTTGTTGCCTTAGCCAGCTACTCTGGCATTCTCTAGGGAGACCTGTCTAGTACTAGTATTCTGTATGTGTGTGTAGTCTCAGTCTGGTGGGGGGGGATGTGAGTTCTGGATATAACACAGTTAAGCTAATTATCAGGCTAGCAGGCAGTGGGCCTAACGAACCTGGGCTCTGGAATGTCAGTCTACGCCGCAAAGATTACACTTAACTCAAATAACACCGACACTATTCCTCACATCTTAGCCGGGCCTTGCATTGTCCCCATCACCGTCTGTCCTGACTATGGTTACCCTTGTAGCTGTAACGTTGAATCATTAGTAGGTTGCCAATATAGACCTGCTAGTCTACTGCATTTCAAACTAAGATCCCCCTCTACGTTAGATATCTACACATTGACATCTTTAACTGACTATTATTTTAGTTTAACCATAATCACAGTGACCATGACAGAGACTATTGACGATACAGATTACGCCCTATCATTGAATGTGACGACACCCTATCTAATCAATGAACTGCATTATCTTAGATGGGATGTTATATTGTGTACAGTACTTAACTTACACCAGGGGGACCTACACCTTATTGCCCCTGACAGTGCTGTCAATGCAGAGGCCAAGTGTGGCTCAATGCGACAAGCCGAGTGGATACGCCTCGACCAATCAGGAGCCGCCCTGCAGAAAGTTTGCCTTTTATGGACAGGGGGGCTGAGGCGAATGCGGATATAAAACCCGGAGCCTTGGCAACGCTTCATCACTACGTTTCTCACCGCACCGAAAACCGGAGCGTAACGGCGACTTTCTCCTAACGCCGATAACTACCCCCCACTAAAACACAGGTAAGAGCTGGAATAACCTATTGTGGTTTGTTGAAGTCGACGTGGTAATTGTTACATTTTTTTTTTTGGTGCCGAAGTGTTATTCATTCGTAATAGGGAAACGTAGCTAGCTAGCTAGTCAAGTTTAGTTATCTGGCTAACTTGTGCGGTTTCAGAGAATGCCCATAACGTTAATGGTGTACAGTGTTTTCTGGGTTGGCCAGAGCTTTCACAGGTTTAAATGTGCATTCTGGTCATTTTTAAATGTAGTCATCTGGCTAGCTAACTGACAATGTTATCTAGCTAGTTAACGTTAGCAGCATCTCTGGGTGGGTGTGCCAACCGGCGTGTGTCTTATCGTTGACCGGTAGGCTAAATGAAGTCGTTAGACATTTGAACTGTGGATGCCAGTCACGCTAACGATATGAAGTCGTTAGACATTTGAACTGTGGATGCCAGTCATGCTAACGATATGAAGTCGTTAAAGTCATTTGAACTGTGGATGCCAGTCATGCTAACGATATGAAGTCGTTAAAGTCATTTGAACTGTGGATGCCAGTCATGCTAACGATATGAAGTCGTTAAAGTCATTTGAACTGTGGATGCCAGTCATGCTAACGATATGAAGTCGTTAGTCATTTGAACTGTGGATGCCAGTCATGCTAACGATATGAAGTCGTTAGTCATTTGAACTGTGGATGCCAGTCATGCTAACGATATGAAGTCGTTAAAGTCATTTGAACTGTGGATGCCAGTCATGCTAACGATATGAAGTCGTTAAAGTCATTTGAACTGTGGATGCCAGTCATACTAACGATATGAAGTCGTTAGTCATTTGAACTGTGGATGCCAGTCATGCTAACGATATGAAGTCGTTAAAGTCATTTGAACTGTGGATGCCAGTCATGCTAACGATATGAAGTCGTTAAAGTCATTTGAACTGTGGATGCCAGTCATGCTAACGATATGAAGTCGTTAAAGTCATTTGAACTGTGGATGCCAGTCATGCTAACGATATGAAGTCGTTAGTCATTTGAACTGTGGATGCCAGTCATGCTAACGATATGAAGTCGTTAGACATTTGAACTGTGGATGCCAGTCATGCTAACGATACTTGACTTGCCTTCCAACATGCCGTTGGACAGTTAACGATCCCTGTGCACTGGTTATAGACCGTCGGGCAAATTCCACTAGCATTTAAAGGCAGGCTGTCAACACCCGAGTGAGATGACTTCCTATGTAATGATGACGGCTTGAGTAACTTGTCAAATATTTTTATGACTATTTTGCTCACCAGATGAGTCAGTGCTTTGGGGGGGTCAATGTCACTGGTTTAATAAGGAACATTCCACACGAGTCTTAAGTTTACAAGCCTCACCATATATGGCCATTAGTGGAATCTGATAGCCCGGAAGCCGCACCTTTTTTCAAAATGTTTTGAAGGATAGATGTGGAACTTGGACTGATCTATCCTGGGTTATTGTCTGTGGGTGTTTTTATCCCGGTCCTAGGGAGTGGCGCGGCTGTCATGGACTAACACATGTCAGGGAGGGAGGGAGGGAGGGAGGGGATGGGGTGCTCCAACTATTGCCTTATATGGCGATGCCTCGGCCAGAAACACACAGCCTTTTGTCTGGGTCGCTACTACTTACCACAGCCACTAAGTCATCAACTCCGCATTATTCTACCACAACTTAACTACACTGCTAACCTTATGCCCAACCTTCAATTAAGCCCCGAAAGCAATTTTGTTGTTCATTTTAATTTTAACGATAAAGCTAATTTTGATTGGGCTGGACTGTTGCTGCTCAGCGCCACCTAGCGGCTCTTCACTGATAGTACACTGGCTCAATAGTGACAGGCAGGCAGCGCACCCCGGTGACTACGTAGTCTAATGTCTGTTTTTTTTTCTTCTTCCCGGTGCAGAAATGGAAGACGAAATCGCCGCCCTGGTCGTTGATAACGGCTCCGGTATGTGCAAGGCCGGGTTCGCCGGAGACGATGCTCCTCGGGCCGTGTTCCCCTCCATCGTGGGTCGCCCCAGACATCAGGTAACGACTAAACTCCTCGTCTGTCATCTATTTACTGAAACAAACCCAACGTCTTTACAACTATCCGCTATACTGAATGGTGATCCTGTTACATTGGAACTCCACTGGTATTTTAACTTGAATGTTTGTAGCCATTTGACTTGGCGTTCAGATTCACTAGAGACAATCTGACTGCTTTGTAGTACACCAGTATGATTATTAATAGAAGATTACATTATATCATTTAACAGGTTCTGTGTTGCTACGCCACGTCACTGGACCTGACCTGTTACGACTAATCTACGACCAGTAATGTTGTTGATTTAGCCGTAGCATTGTAACTGACCCCGTGTATCTGTCTCCAAGGGAGTGATGGTTGGGATGGGCCAGAAGGACAGCTACGTGGGCGACGAGGCCCAGAGCAAGAGGGGTATCCTGACCCTCAAGTACCCCATTGAGCACGGCATCGTCACCAACTGGGACGACATGGAGAAGATCTGGCATCACACCTTCTACAACGAGCTGAGAGTGGCTCCGGAAGAGCACCCCGTCCTGCTCACTGAGGCCCCCCTCAACCCCAAAGCCAACAGGGAGAAGATGACCCAGGTACATCACTCACCACCTCTTTTACTGTTCAGTTCTGCCCGCTCTTCTCCTCTCCTCACTCTCCTCCTCTCCTTCAGGCCCTCTGTCCTCACAGCTGATCTGTCACCTCTCTGGAAGCTGCAGGTCTCCTGTCGGTCTGTGTTCTGCCTCTCTGCACCCTGCTGGCTGCTCGCTAGGAATGATCTAGACTAACCCGTAGGACAGGACTGGAATGATCTAGACTAACCCGTAGGACAGGACTGGAATGATCTAGACTAACCCGTAGGACAGGACTGGAATGATCTAGACTAACCCGTAGGACAGGACTGGAATGATCTAGACTAACCCGTAGGACAGGACTGGAATGATCTAGACTAACCCGTAGGACAGGACTGGAATGATCTAGACTAACCCGTAGACAGGACTGGAATGATCTAGACTAACCCGTAGGACAGGACTGGAATGATCTAGACTAACCCGTAGGACAGGACTGGAATGATCTAGACTAACCCGTAGGACAGGACTGGAATGATCTAGACTAACCCGTAGGACAGGACAGGAATGATCTAGACTAACCCGTGAGGACAGGACTGGAATGATCTAGACTAACCGTAGGACAGGACTGGAATGATCTAGACTAACCGTAGGACAGGACTGGAATGATCTAGACTAACCCGTAGGACAGGACTGGAATGATCTAGACTAACCCGTAGGACAGGACTGGAATGATCTAGACTAACCCGTAGGACAGGACTGGAATGATCTAGACTAACCCGTAGGACAGGACTGGAATGATCTAGACTAACCCGTAGGACAGGACTGGAATGATCTAGACTAACCCGTAGGACAGGACTGGAATGATCTAGACTAACCCGTAGGACAGGACTGGAATGATCTAGACTAACCCAATAGGACAGGACTGGAATGATCTAGACTAACCCAATAGGACAGGACTGGAATGATCTAGACTAACCCAATAGGACAGGACTGGAATGATCTAGACTAACCCAATAGGACAGGACTGGAATGATCTAGACTAACCCGTAGGACAGGACAGGAATGATCTAGACTAACCCAATAGGACAGGACTGGAATGATCTAGACTAACCCGTAGGACAGGACTGGAATGATCTAGACTAACCCATAGGACAGGACTGGAATGATCTAGACTAACCCGTAGGACAGGACTGGAATGATCTAGACTAACCCGTAGGACAGGACTGGAATGATCTAGACTAACCCGTAGGACAGGACTGGAATGATCTAGACTAACCCGTAGGACAGGACTGGAATGATCTAGACTAACCCGTAGGACAGGACTGGAATGATCTAGACTAACCCGTAGGACAGGACTGGAATGATCTAGACTAACCCGTAGGACAGGACTGGAATGATCTAGACTAACCCGTAGGACAGGACAGGAATGATCTAGACTAACCCAATAGGACAGGACTGGAATGATCTAGACTAACCCAATAGGACAGGACTGGAATGATCTAGACTAACCCGTAGGACAGGACTGGAATGATCTAGACTAACCCAATAGGACAGGACTGGAATGATCTAGACTAACCCGTAGGACAGGACTGGAATGATCTAGACTAACCCGTAGGACAGGACAGGACTGGAATGATCTAGACTAACCCGTAGGACAGGACTGGAATGATCTAGACTAACCCAATAGGACAGGACTGGAATGATCTAGACTAACCCAATAGGACAGGACTGGAATGATCTAGACTAACCCGTAGGACAGGACAGGAATGATCTAGACTAACCCGTAGGACAGGACTGGAATGATCTAGACTAACCCAATAGGACTGCTGGGAATGAGCTACTATAGTGGTTTATATTGACATTACATCATGTAGGAATGACTTTCTGCACTGAGTTTCTCCCCTAACAACTGTTTCCCTCTGATTCACTGGAAAGCATGTTCTACTGCAAGCTGTGACTCCCCTCCCCTCTCCTCTACTGTACTCCTCCAGCCCTGTGACTCCCCTCTCCTCTACTGTACTCCTCCAGCCCCGTGACTCCCCTCTCCTCTACTGTACTCCTCCAGCCCCGTGACTCCCCTCTCCTCCCCTCTACTGTACTCCTCCAGCCCCGTGACTCCCCTCTCCTCTCCTCTACTGTACTCCTCCAGCCCCGTGACTCTCCTCTCCTCTCCTCTCCTGTACTCCCCAGCCCCGTGACTCTCCTCTCCTCTCCTGTACTCCTCCAGCCCCGTGACTCTCCTCTCCTCTCCTGTACTCCTCCAGCCCCGTGACTCCCCTCCCCTCCCCTCTCCTCTCCTCCTCCAGCCCCGTGACTCCCCTCTCCTCTACTGTACTCCTCCAGCCCTGTGACTCCCCTCTCCTCCCCTCTACTGTACTCCTCCAGCCCCGTGACTCCCCTCTCCTCTCCTCTCCTGTACTCCTCCAGCCCCGTGACTCCCCTCCCCTCCCCTCTCCTCTCCTCTCCTCCTCCAGCCCCGTGACTCCCCTCTCCTCTACTGTACTCCTCCAGCCCTGTGACTCCCCTCTCCTCCCCCTCTACTGTACTCCTCCAGCCCCGTGACTCCCCTCTCCTCTCCTCTCCTGTACTCCTCCAGCCCCGTGACTCCCCTCTCCTCTCCTGTACTCCTCCAGCCCGTGACTCCCCTCTCCTCTCCTCTACTGTACTCCTCCAGCCCCGTGACTCTCCTCTCCTGTACTCCTCCAGCCCCGTGACTCTCCTCTCCTCTCCTGTACTCCTCCAGCCCCGTGACTCCCCTCCCCTCTCCTCTCCTGTACTCCTCCAGCCCCGTGACTCTCCTCTCCTGTACTCCTCCAGCCCCGTGACTCTCCTCCCCTCTCCTCTCCTCTCCAGCCCTGTGACTCCCCTCTCCTCTACTGTACTCCTCCAGCCCCGTGACTTCCCCTCTCCTCCCCTCTACTGTACTCCTCCAGCCCCGTGACTCCCCTCTCCTCTCCTCTACTGTACTCCTCCAGCCCTGTGACTCCCCTCCCCTCTCCTCTACTGTACTCCTCCAGCCCCGTGACTCCCCTCTCCTCTCCTCTAACTGTACTCTCCAGCCCTGTGAACTTCCCCTCTCCTCTACTGTACTCCTCCAGCCCCGTGACTCCCCTCCCTCCCCTCTCCTCTACTGTACCTCCTCCAGCCCTGTGACTCCCCTCCCCTCCCCTCTCCTCTACTGTAACTCCTCCAGCCCGTGACTCCCCTCTCCTCTCCCTCCTGTACTCCTCCAGCCCCGTGACTCCCCTCCCCTCTCCTCTCCTGTACTCCTCCAGCCCCGTGACTCCCCTCCCCTCTCCTCTACTGTACTCCCCAGCCCCGTGAACTTCCCCTCCCCCCTCTCCTCCTCCAGCCGCCCGTGACTCCCCTCCCCTCCTCCTCCTCCAGCCCCGTGACTCCCCTCCCCCTCTCCTCCTCCAGCCCCGTGACTCCCCCCCTCCCCTAACTCCTCTACTGTACTCCTCCAGCCCCGTGACTCCCCTCTCCTCTCCTCTACTCCTCCAGCCCCGTGACTCCCTCTCCTCTCCTCTACTGTACTCCTCCAACCCTGTGACTCCCCTCTCCTCTACTGTACTCCTCAGCCCCGTGACTCCCCTCCCCTCTCCTCTACTGTACTCCTCCAGCCCCGTGACTCCCCTCTCCTCTCCTCTACTCCTCCAGCCCCGTGACTCCCCTCTCCTCTCCTCTCCCCTGTACTCCTCCAGCCCCCGTGACTCCCCACTCCCTCTACTGTACTCCCTCCAGCCCCGTGACTCCCCTCCCCTCTCCTCTCCTGTACTCCTCCAGCCCCGTGACTCCCCTCTCCTCTCCTCTCCTCTACTCCTCCAGCCCCGTGACTCTCCTCTCCTCTCCTCTACTCCTCCAGCCCCGTGACTCCCCTCTCCTCTACTGTACCCCCCTGACTCCCCTCTCCTCTCTCTACTGTACTCCTCCAGCCCCGTGACTCCCCTCTCCTCTACTGTACTCCTCCAGCCCCGTGACTCCCCTCTCCTTCCCTCTACTGTACTCCTCCAGCCCCGTGACCCCCTCTCCTCTCCTCTACTGTACTCCTCCAGCCCCGTGACTCCCCTCTCCTCTCCTCTACTGTACTCCTCCAGCCCCGTGACTCCCCTCTCCTCTCCTCTACTGTACTCCTCCAGCCCCGTGACTCCCCTCTCCTCTACTGTACTCCTCCATCCCCGTGACTCCCCCCTCTCCTCTACTGTACTCCTCCAGCCCCGTGACTCCCCTCCCCTCATCCTCTACTGTACTCCTCCAGCCCCGTGACTCCCCTCTCCTCTCCTCTCCTCTACTCCTCCAGCCCCGTGACTCCCCTCCTCCTCTCCTCTACTGTACTCCTCCAGCCCGTGACTCCCCTCTCCTCCTACTGTACTCCTCCAGCCCCGTGACTCCCCTCTCCTCTACTGTACTCCTCCAGCCCCGTGACTCCCCTCTCCTCTACTGTACTCCTCCAGCCCTGTGACTCCCCTCTCCTCTACTGTACTCCTCCAGCCCCGTGACTCCCCTCTCCTCTACTGTACTCCTCCAGCCCCGTGACTCCCCTCTCCTCTCCTCTACTGTACTCCTCCCCAGCCCCGTGACTCCCTCTCCTCTCCTCTACTGTACTCCTCCAGCCCCGTGACTCCCCTCTCCTCTCCTCTCCTCTACTGTACTCCTCCAGCCCCGTGACTCCCCTCTCCTCTCCTCTACTGTACTCCTCCAGCCCCGTGACTCCCCTCCCCCTCCCCTCTCCTCTACTGTACTCCTCCAGCCCCCGTGACTCCCCTCCCCCCTCCCCTCTCCTGTACTCCTCCAGCCCTGTGACTCCCCTCTCCTCTCCTCTCCTCTACTCCTCCAGCCCTGTGACTCCCCTCTCCTCTACTGTACTCCTCCAGCCCTGTGACTCCCTCTCCTCTCTCTCCTCTCTACTCCTCCAGCCCTGTGACTCTCCTCTCCTCTACTGTACTCCTCCAGCCCCGTGACTCCCCTCCCCTCCCCTCTCCTCTACTGTACTCCTCCAGCCCCGTGACTCTCCTCTCCTCTACTGTACTCCTCCAGCCCCGTGACTCTCCTCTCCTCTACTGTACTCCTCCAGCCCCGTGACTCTCCTCTCCTCTCCTGTACTCCTCCAGCCCCGTGACTCCCCTCCCCTCTACTGTACTCCTCCAGCCCTGTGACTCCCCTCTCCTCTCCTCTCCTCTACTCCTCCAGCCCTGTGACTCTCCTCTCCTCTACTGTACTCCTCCAGCCCCGTGACTCCCCTCCCCTCCCCTCTCCTCTACTGTACTCCTCCAGCCCCGTGACTCTCCTCTCCCTACTGTACTCCTCCAGCCCCGTGACTCTCCTCTCCTCTACTGTACTCCTCCAGCCCCGTGACTCCCCTCCCCTCTACTGTACTCCTCCAGCCCCGTGACTCCCCTCTCCTCTACTCCTCCAGCCCCGTGACTCCCCTCTACTGTACTCCTCCAGCCCCGTGACTCCCCTCTACTGTACTCCTCCAGCCCCGTGACTCCCCTCTACTGTACTCCTCCACCCCGTGACTCCCCTCTCCTGTACTCCTCCAGCCCCGTGACTCCCCTCTACTGTACTCCTCCAGCCCCGTGACTCTCCTCTCCTCTCCACTACTCCTCCAGCCCCGTGACTCTCCTCTCCTCTCCACTACTCCTCCAGCCCCGTGACTCCCCTCTCCTGTACTCCTCCAGCCCCGTGACTCCCCTCCCCTCTCCTGTACTCCTCCAGCCCCGTGACTCTCCTCTCCTCTCCTCTCCAGATCATGTTTGAGACCTTCAACACTCCCGCCATGTACGTGGCCATCCAGGCCGTGCTCTCCCTGTACGCCTCCGGCCGTACCACCGGTATCGTCATGGACTCCGGCGACGGCGTGACCCACACGGTGCCCATCTACGAGGGCTACGCCCTGCCCCACGCCATCCTGCGTCTGGACCTGGCCGGACGCGACCTCACGGACTACCTCATGAAGATCCTGACGGAGCGAGGCTACAGCTTCACCACCACGGCCGAGAGGGAGATCGTGCGCGACATCAAGGAGAAGCTGTGCTACGTGGCGCTGGACTTCGAGCAGGAGATGGGCACCGCCGCCTCCTCCTCCTCTCTGGAGAAGAGCTACGAGCTGCCCGACGGACAGGTCATCACCATCGGCAACGAGAGGTTCCGCTGCCCAGAGGCCCTCTTCCAGCCATCCTTCCTCGGTGAGTCTCTTAACCAACCTCCTCCTGTGGAACAGCTGGTCCGTGTCAGTCTGGCCTGTCTGGCAGCCGTGTTGCGTTTGCGAGCCCCGTCGTGACGGCCGTGTTGTCTCCTCTCTCTCTCTCTAGGTATGGAGTCTTGCGGCATCCATGAGACGACCTTCAACTCCATCATGAAGTGCGACGTTGACATCCGTAAGGACCTGTACGCCAACACGGTGCTCTCTGGAGGAACCACCATGTACCCCGGCATCGCTGACCGGATGCAGAAGGAGATCACCTCTCTGGCCCCCTCCACCATGAAGATCAAGGTGACTAACAATAAACAAGTCAATGTCTCTGAACTAGTGTTGGTCTGCTTCCTGTAGTTAGCAGAGTTACTAACTGACCTGGAGAACAGTTGGCCTGTTGTGGTCCGGTTGCTACAACTTGCAGTCTGAACATCTTGTACATCATTTAATCTAACCCTTGTCTCTCTCTTGTCTCTGGTTCTCCTCTGTCCTTCATCTGTCTCTGCTCTCCTCTCTCTCTCTCTCGGTCTCTGTCTCTCTATTGTTCTCTCTTCTTGTCTACTGCCTCTCTCCTTCTCTCTCTCTGTCTCTGTCTTCTCTTGTCCTCTCTGTCTCTGCTCTCTCTCTTCTCTCTCTCTGTCTCTGTTCTTCTCTGTCCTCTCTGTTCTCGGCTCTCTCTCTCTCCTCTCTCTCGGTCTCTGTCTCTGTCTGTATCTTCTCTCTCTCTCTCTTTTCTCTCTCTCTCTGTCTCTCTCTCTCTGTTTCTCTCTCTCTGTCTCTCTCTCTGTCTCTCTCTCGTTTTTCTCTCTTTCCTCTGTTGTCTCTCTCTCTGTCTCGTCTTCTCTCTAAGTCTCCTCTGTCTCCTTTTCTCTTCCCCCTGTTCTGTTTTCTTTCCCCCTTTTCTTTTTCTTCTCCTCCAATCACGGGCCCCCCCAGAGCGTAAATACTTGTGTGGATCGGGGTCATTTTTCCTGGCTTCTTCTCCACCTTTTTCCCGCAGTGTGGATAGCAGCAGGATACGCGGTCTGGCCCCTCCATCGTCCACCAAAAGTTTTAAACCCAAACCCACCGTACGACTCGTTTCCTTCCCAAACCCCAACCCTACAGGGTCTTTTTCCTTCCCATTCCAATTTAAAGACTCGGCTCGCCCTGTCAGTCCCTGGTCGCCCTTTTGGCCTGCAGACTCCTTTCACCCACCCCCTTTCCCTGGCATGTCTTCTCCTGGTGTCAGTCTTGTTTTGAAGCCTCCCCGATTTTTTTTTTTTGCCTGATTGGACAGAAACGGGGAACGCCGGCCGTGTTTATGGTCGTGACTCAGACGTCCCCGTTGGTTCGTCAATGTCTGTTTCCAAAACCACCTTTATTGACCTCTATAGAGGTGTTGCTGTCCACCCCTTCCCCCCCCTACCTACCTGCACTGCCATTGACCAGGGCCTTGAGGGATCTAGTGTCATACCTAGGGATAGGGTGGTTTTTGGGACACTAACTCTGGGCTCTAGGTGTGATAGTGTTGAAGGGGGGAGGGGGGTGAAGCTTAATATGTAAATGATCAATATTAAAAACTTTATTGTTTTTGTACTTTCAGCCTTATAGATACATGGTCCAGTTTGTTTTTGTTATGCAAATAAATAAAAAGAAACGACAGTTTTGACCTTTTTTCTAATGAGAGTGAAGGTGTTCCCCTCTCTGGGAGGGGCGGGGCGGGTGGCTCCTGTTGTGGACACTGACCAATACAAAACCAATAAAGTTCACATGTCTAATGAAATCCTTCTGTTCTCTGCCTTCATGTATGGTGTTGATCCCACTACTGGCTGGTTCCTAGAAAGACTGACGTGGTGCCGTCTTTTTGTGTCTGCAAAAATTGTGAGAATTGGCGGTGGGAACCTTTTAAAATATATATATATATATATATAAGCCAGTATTTATATAACAACCATTTCGAATTGCAAATCATGTCTTGAACGGCCAACTCCACTCGCCCGCTGGCGGTATAAATGTATAACCTGTGCATCGCGCCAGCGGAAAATGGCAAACTGCGGAGATTGTTCTTTTTTTGTTATCTGGGTTGGAGTCACGATGTGTTGTGGTCCTCCCACTATGACTCGGGAAAACGAGTCAGTTTATTAGAACACAGATGAATAAATGGTGAATGAAAATTGCATGGTGACGAGCTTGACGCTCCTGTCCAATAAAACTATCGTGGAGAGACTAAGAGTGAAAAATGGTTATTCCTCAAAAATTCAAAGATTACACAAGGCAGAACAAAATCCCAGGCTAAAGGGTCAGTGGGCCCCCCCCAAAAAGAGAAAAAGGAAAGTTCAGACAGAAGGGGGGAATCAGATCGCTAGGTCGCCCCGGAATTTTAATTTGGGTTTTTATTTTTTTTTGTGATAAAAGTCTGCCTGTTGATCGTTAAAAGGGGGCAGTTCAGTAGGGGGTGTATTAACGCGGTTTTAATTTTCTCGGGTGTACCGCCCCCCCGCCCCCTGGTACCCCGCCCGTTTCTGAGTCCGAGAGAAAAAAACTGTTGATGTTTCCTTGGTTTTTTGTTTTTATAATACCGTTGCACGCACATAAAGC